AGGCATATGCCACCATGCCTGGCTAATTTTTTGTATTTTTAGTAGAGACGGGGTTTCACCATGTTAGCCAGGATGGTCTTGATCTCCTAACCTTGTGATCCACCCGTCTCGGCCTCCCAAAGTGTTGGGATTACAGGCGTGAGCCACCGCGCCCAGCTAGAAAGTCTGTATTTTAAATAATACAATAATCATTTGTGTTAAATACCACTTCATTCATTCATTTAGTTTTGAGACAGGGTCTCTCTCTGTCACACAGGCTGAAGTGTAGTGGCACAGTCAACAGCTCACTGTAGCCTCAGGCTTAAGTGATCCTACTGCCTCAGCTTCCCAAGTAGCTGGGATTGCAGGCAAACACCACCAAGCCTGGCTATTTTTTTTTTTTTAAGTGGAGATGATGAGGTCTCACTATGTTGCCCAGACCGGTCTCAAACTTCAGGTCTCATGTGATCCTCCTACCTGGGCCTCCCAAAGTGCTAGAATTATAGATGTGAGCCACTGCACCTGGCCCCACTTCACTTTAAAATACAAGAATTGGCCAGGCAGAGTGGCTCACATCTGTAATCCCGGCACTTTGGGAGGCTGAGGTGGGTGGATCACTTGAGGTCAGGAGTTCAAGACCAGCCTGGCCAACACGGCGAAACCCCATCTCTACTAAAAATACAAAAATTAGCTGGGCGTGGTGGCGGGCACCTGTAATCCCAGCTACTCAGGAGGCTGAGTCAGGAGAGTCACTTGAACCTAGAGGGCAGAGGTTGCAGTGAGCTGAGATCGTGCCATTGCACTCCAGCCTGGGCGACAAGAGCAAGAATCCATCTCAAAACATAACTAAATAAAATAAAATAAAAGACTTTTGGTGGGGCATGGTGGCTCATGCCTGTAATATCAGCACTTTGGGAAGCCAAGGCGGGCGGATCACCTGAGGTCAGGAGTTTGAGACCAGCCTGGGAAACATGGTGAAACCGCGACTTTACAAAAAAAAAATAAAAATTAGTCAGGCATTAGCTGGGCGCGGTGGCTCATGGCTGTAATCCCAGCACTTTGGGAGGCCGAGGTGGCGGATCAGTTGAGGTCAGAAGTTCAAGAACAGCCTGGCCAATATGGTGAAACCCCATCTCTACTAAAAATACAAAAAAATTAGCCGGGTATTGCGGTATGTGCCTGTAATCCCAGCTACTTGGGAGGCTGAGGCAGGAGAATTGCTTGAACCTGGGAGGCGGAGGTTGCAGTGAGCCGAGATGGCGCCACTGCACTCCAGCCTGGGCAACAGAAAGACTCCATCTCAAAAAAAAAATAAAAATTAGCCAGGCATGGTGGCATGTGCCTGTAGTCCCAGCTACTGGGGAGGCTGAAGTGGGAGAATCACTGCATCCATAAGCCAGAGGGTGCAGTGAGCCGCGATCGTGCCATTGTACTCCAAGCCTGAGCAACAGAGTAAGACTCTGTCTCAAAATAAATGTAAAAACATGAATAAATAAAATATAGGCTCTGTCTCAAAATAAAAGTAAAAAAATAAAATAAAATATAAGACTTTCTTTTTTTTTTTGAGACAGAGTCTTGCTCTGTCACCCAGGCTGGAGTGTGTGGCGAGATCTCAGCTTGCTGCAAGCTCTGTCTCCCAGGTTCACGCCATTCCCTTGCCTCAGCCTCCTGAGTAGCTGGGACTACAGGCACCCGCCACCACACCCGGCTAATTTTTCGTATTTTTAGTAGAGATGGGGTTTCACCGTGTTAGCCAGAATGGTCTCAATTTCCTGACCTCGTGATCGCCCACCTCGGCCTCCCAAAGTGCTGGGATTACAAGCAAGAGCCACTGCGCCCAGCCATAAAATATAAGACTTTCTAAACCTAATCTATGAGTATTATTATAACTTTCTTTCTAAAAATAAATCCTAATAGAATTTTAGAAAAGTACACAGCAACTCAAAATGTCCTCTAACAGGCACTTTCTGACATAACAAAAAATCATCTTGTCCTTCTACTTGCCAGACTGGATTTTCTATACTAAAAGGAACCAAAGCTCCAATGAGAAATGGCTGTTTACAAATCTTCTGCAGCAAAACTGCAAACCTACTCACCTTGTTGAGCCAGAAAACAAGAAAGCTTTCAAAGATTAACTAAGTTGTGTAAAAAGAACTCAGGAGCCAGCCTGAAAGGTACTCCTATTAACCAAGGTTGTGACAATTTGAGCAACAGAAGAACATTGATCATAATGGACTGAATCAATGAAATGAATTAAAATGAATCACTGAATCAATAAAAATTCATAAGTACAGAAAGATGCTTAGAAAAGAGAACACCAGAATCAAAGGTTTTTGTCACTATCTGGGAAAGCTATTAAATTAATCTCTTATTTAGAACTTGGTAAATTGAAATTAAGCATTTGTCCTCACTTTCTAACAGTGACTAAATTTGAAGGTAACTGGCCGGGCGCGGCGGCTCACGCTTGTAATCCCAGCACTTTGGGAGGCCGAGGCGGGTGGATCACGAGGTTAGGAAATTGAGACCACGGTGAAACCTCGTCTCTACTAAAAATACAAAAAATTAGCCGGGCGTGGTGGCGGCACCTGTAGTCCCAGCTATTCAGGAGGCTGAGGCAGGAGAATCGCGTGAACCCGGGAGGCGGAGCTTGCAGTGAGCCAAGATTGCGCCACTGCACTCCAGCCTGGGCTACAGAGCGAGACTTCGTCTCAAAGGGAAAAAAAAAATTTTTTTAAGTAACCAAAAAGCCCTGGTTAATGAAGAAAAATTCTACTTTTGAAGAATGAAGAATGTAGCTAATGAAAATAGAAAAATATAATTTTATAAACCCTAATAAAATTATTACTTTAAGGCAAAGGTTATAAACTGGTGTTACAACTATTAGGTAAATGCTTAACGGCAAAAAGGACATTCATTTGGTGCTAAAAACACCACACAGATTATTCTCCAGTTATTAGAGAAAAACATAACTATTCAATGGAGAGATCAGACTGCCATTCCCCCAAACCAGCAGTCAGTCTCAGCTTCACTAGGGGTTGATCAATTAAATATAACTTCTACTGTCATGGAACATGAAAAATATATAATCTAGCATATATTTCACCCAGAACTGTTTATTTTGAACCCATCAAGCCTTTACATATAATTTCCAGATGACAGAAACACAGGAGATAAAGGTAAAAGCTAAATGACACCACAGGATGCAACAAGACTTAGTCTCTTCAACATAAATTGGGGGACTATGTTAGATTTAGAGTATCAAGGAACAGAACAACCAGATGCACTATGGAGTCCTGGATTAAATCCTGATTTGCATAAATCAGGTATATAGAGTATTTCAGGGTCAACCAGGGAAACTGTAATAAGGTCGGGTATTAGATAAGATAAAATATTACTGAAATGTAAAGGCAGTGACAGTTGAACAGAGAAAGCAGCATTAAAAAAAAAAAAAAGTATTGCAGCCAGGCGCAGTGGCTCACACCGGTAATCCCAGCACTCTGGGAGGCCAAGGCGGGTGGATCACGAGGTCAGGAGATCGAGACCATCCTGGCCAAGATAGTGAAACCCCATCTCTACTAAAAATACAAAAAAATTAGCCAGGCTTGGTGGCGGGCGCCTGTAGTCCCAGCTACTCCGGAGGCTGAGGCAGGAGAATGGCGGGAACCCAGGAGGTGGAGCCTGCAGTGAGCTGAGATCGCGCCACTGCACTCCAGCCTGGGTGACAGAGCAAGACTCCATCTCAAAAAAACAAAACAAAACAAAAAAAACAGTATTTTTTTTTTTTTGGTAAATTACTGATTTTAGTAAAAAATACATATACAAATACATAGATGAATGTACACACACATTCACCTAGAAGAAGACCCAAAATTCAGATTCTAAGGATTAGGATGAATTAAAAAAAAGAAAAAGATCCAAAAGAATATGCTGGTATATTATGTCTCAATTTTTGCATGTAGTGGCATAAAACAACACAAATGTATTATCTCACAAAGGCCAGCAGAGTATGGCTGGATGCTCTGCTTAGCATCCCTAAGCTAAAATCAAGGCATCAGCCAGGGCTACAGTTTTCATCAGGGGCTTGTAGTCCTCTTACAATCTCATTGGCTACTAGCAGAATTCATTTCCTCCTTGCTTCATACCTGCAGTGGTGCAGAAAATCCTTCTCATACGTCAAATCTCTCTGACCTCTCCTTCTACACAGGCTGGAGAAAGCACCTTGGTTTTAAGGGCTCACGTGATTAGACCAGGCCCACAGGGTAATCTTTCCAATCTGTCTAATGTGCTATATAAAGTATCATAATCATGGGAATGGCATCTCATCATATTCATAGGTTCTGAGAATTAGAGTGAGGAATGTTGGGGAGGGGAGGCATTTTGAGAACTCTGACTACTACAGTCACAAAAAGTTTTTAAAAATCAATTAAAACAGCTTTCCTACCTGTTAATAATGAACCATGCAACAGTAAGCATTCCTGCTAGCCACGTTCCACTCATAAGCCAACTTGTAACAAATAAAGCAGTCACATATATTCCTTGCAATCCAAAAACAATGCCAATATAGAAATACACTGGCTCAATGATCTCCTATGTGGAAAAAACAGAAAGAGAACAAGATAACAGGATGGCATTAAATAATTCGAGGATTCATGACTACATGAGAAAATAAATAATAGGGTCCAAAGAAAAATACATACATTGCTCCCAGTGGCTTGATACAAAACGCTAGCAATAAGTTCCGGATATAGGGACATTTGCTGCACTGCATTTATAGTCTTCAGAGATACAGTTTTGTTATTGTGTGTCAGTTCATAAACACCTAAAGACAGAAAGATTTTTATCCAGATTATTTATTCTGCTTCACAGTAATTAAAGATGTCATTCATTAGTCCTTAAATATTTAATATTATTATCACAAAAGATCCCAAATAGAATACTCCATGCTGCATTTTCCAATTTTTAACAATTTAGCACAATAAAGAGAAATATCTATATTCTGAGACAAATCCCCACATGAAAGGTCCCAATATAGTAGAACAGAGATTATTAGAGGCTGGGAAGAGCAGAGGGGAGGGGAGGATAGGGAGAGATTGGTTAATGGATACAAAATTACAGCTAGATAGGAAAAATAACTTCTAGTATTCTGTAGTACTATAGAATGAATATGGTTAACAACAATTTAGTGTATATTTTCAAAAAGCTGAGAGTCGATTTTGGATATTCATAACACAAGGAAGTGACATATGTCCAATGTGATGGATATGCTAACTACTCTGATTTGATGATTATACATTGTGTATAATATGAAAATATCACTCCCCATAAATATGCACAATTACTACATGTCGAGTAAAAATAAGAGAAGGAGGAAAGGTTCTAAAATAGAAGAACAATGTTTTATTTAAGAAAAATGTTGACATTATGGCCAGGCGTGGTGGCTCACGCCTGTAATCCCAGCACTTTGGGAGGCCAAGGCAGGCGGATCATCGAGATCAGCCTGGCCAACATGGTGAAACCCCGTCTCTACTAAGTATACAAAAATTAGCCGGGCATGGTGGCCGGCGCCTTTAAACCCAGCTACTCGGGAGGCTGAGGCAGGAGAATTGCTTGAACCCGGGAGGTGGAGGCTGCAGTGAGCCAAGATCGCACCACTGCACTCCAGCCTGGGTGACAAAGCAAGACTCCATCTTGGGAAAAAAAAGAAAAGAAAAGAAAAAGGAAAATATTGTTATTAAAAATGTAACTGTGGTTATCATACCTCTTTCAAATGAAGGTGCCTTTAACATATCTTTATAATAGGAGTAATAAATGGCACTGTCACCCTGAAACGTGATTTCCCGTTCAAGCTCCTAAAAGAAAATGAAATAGTTATTTAAAATTGAATTTTTTTCTTTTTTTTTTTTGAGACAGAGTCTTGCTCTGTCGCCCAGGCTGGAGTGTAGTAGTGCAATCTCGGCTCACTGTAAGCTCCGCCTCCTGGGTTCACGCCATTCTCCTGCCTCAGCCTCCAAGTAGCTGGGACCACAGGCGCCCGCCACCACGCCCGGCTATTTTTTTGTATTTTCAGTAGAGACAGGGTTTCACTGTATTAGTCAGGATGGTCTCCATCTCCAGACCTCATGATCCGCCCACCTTGGCCTCACAAAGTGCCGGGATTACAGGTATGAGCTACCATGCCCGGCCCTAGGATTTAATTATTTTTGCTTTTCAAGAGATGGAGTCTCTCTCTGTTACCCAGGCTGGTGTGCAGAGGCACATTCATGGCTCACTGAAACCTCAAATGATCCTCCCACCTCAGCCTACCCAGTAGCTAGGACTACAGGCACATGGCCGACGTTTTTTTTGTTTTGTTTTTTTGTAAAGAAGGGGGTCTCACAATGTTGTCTAGGCTGGATTTTCTGAAGTTTTCAATTTCAGCCTCTGGCCCAGCGTGGTGGCTCACGCCTGTAATCCCAGCACTTTCGGTGGCCGAAGCGGGTGGATCACTTGAGGTCAGGAGTTTGAGAATAGCCTGGCTAACATGGTGAAACCCTGTCTCTACTAAAAATACAAAAATTAGCCAGGCGTCGTGGTGTGTGCCTGTAACCCCAGCTACTCGGGAGGTGGGAGAATCGCTTGAACCCAGGAGGCAAAGGTTGCAGTGAGCTGAGATCACACCACTGCACTGCAGACTGGGACACAGAGCGAGACTCTGTCTCCAAAAATAATAACAATAATAATAAAATAAAATAAATTTCAGCCTCAATCTTCTGTCTTCCTTCTCACCTTCCAAATTCTCACCTTCCAAATTAACATATTAATAATATTTATCCTTTTATTCAAAGACATGAATTTTCTTTAATTACTAGTGGCTCCATTAATGAGGAACTTAACTTTTTAGTAATCTGGCAATAATTTTAATGAAACATTAAGGTTTAAAATGAATTGTAAATCACAAGTCATCACTTGTTATATATAATATATATCAGGAAAATCTAGAAGGAAAACCACAAGACATGCCCTAAGAATAGCAAGAATAGTAAGACAGGCAATAACGAACGATAGTTGAAATGTTAGAACTCCATAATAAAAAGACAAGTTTAAGGAGAAAGTCATATTTTCTATTACTGTTCCACATCTCTATGTATCCAGAACAGCAAGTCTTTAATTAGTACTTTGCAAGAGCACCAGATACTTAATCAGTACTCTACACATGAACTTCCAGAGGTACAGCAAATCTTAAAATTCCTACAATCAGGCTAATTAGAATTAAGAATAATAGTAAAAATAACATTAGGAGGCCTTGTGCTTTTTAGACTGAATCAAAATTTTATGAATCTATAATCTTTTACAATCAAATGAATTATTTTTATGCATAATATGTATCAATACAAAAACAAAAGATATTAGAGCACTTTTCACAAAGTTTGATCAACAGAACTTCCTAAAATGTTAACGGATGTTACCAAAAAAGAATTCTGTAGTTAAATAAGTTCTGAGAAAGACTAGATTAAACAAAGTTAAATAGCTTTATTATAAGACTTTTCAGAGTTTCAGTATATCTTATATATTGTGACTCTCCAAGAGGAAGTCTTTTCAGATCTATTTTTGTTTGCTATGGTCTGAATATATGTGTCCTCCTAAAATACATATGCTGAAACCTAACACCCAATGAGAAGATATTTGGAAGTGGGATATCTGGGAGGTGATTAGGTCATGAGGGCAGTTCCCTCATGAATGGGATTAATGTCCTTATAAAAGAGGCCCCACAGAGATCCCTTGCTCCTTCCACCATGTGAGGATGCAGCAAGATGATCCCTGCTATAAACCAGGAAGCAAGCCCTCACCAGACATCAAATCTGCCCATGCCTTATCTAGGACTTCTCAGCATCCAGAACTGTGAGAAACAAATTTCTGCTGTTTATAAGCCATTCTGTTGTTTATAAGCTCATGGTACTTTGTTATAGCAGTCTGAATGAACTAAGAGCTTCCTGACCTAAATAAATTACTTAAAATTTTGTTTTATGAATGCAAACATTTGTTTCTAAGATTTCAAAGATGTAAACTCTAAATCAGTGCTTCTCAAGTCTACTGGGTATATGAAACACCTGAAGACCTTATTAAACTGTAGATTCTGATTTTAAAGTGGAGTCTAAGAGTCTATGATTCTGAAAAAGCTCCCAGATCCTGCCAATGCTCCTGACCCATACACAAAGCTTTGTAAAACAAAGTTCTTAATGAAGGCCTTCTAATTTTCAAAGCTTTGGTTATTCTCAGTTCTGCCTATACAACATAATCACCTAAAAATATTCATCGACATACTGATCGCAGCATGTCCCACTGCCTCTACCTAAGAATCTGAGAGGGAGGTTATCTTTGAAAGCTCCCTAGATGATTCTGTCATACATCCACTGTTGAGAACTGCAGTTAATCTGCATAACATTTCCAGGGAAATAATACATGCTACAGTAATAGCTAAATCAAGACAGACGTAGTCATTACTCAGTTAAATGTCTTGATGGTGTTAATTAAACCAATTGCTTTAAAATACTTGGTCAGCTTGACTAAAAAATAAGAACAACAAAAAACCCAGTCTGGGCTCAAAAATTTAAAAACTCTACAAAGCCAAGAGGACTTTGCAAACAAACTTATTCAAAAGTCAAACTATGAAATTATGAATACAACTATAGCAACTGAAGAATCTGTGGAAATATACATGATTGAAAACCAAACACTAAACACAGTAATGAGGCAAAATCTTAATACTATGTGATGCCTGTTAATCCCTTTCAACTCCCTCAAAAACATTCTAATCATGTGATCTAAAAATTAAAATATTTTAATACTAAAACTTCCAGATTGTTTCTGAAATGTGAACTACCTACCAAACCTATGAAAAGGCTGGCTAAACTCCCTAACATTTCACTGTCATCAAAAGTCCCTGATAAGTTAATTGCACCCTCATAGTTTTATTCTATGAAATACACTATTAAGTATTTTAAGGTTGATACTCTAACTATATTCTCAAAAGAGCTTCTGGAGCACTTTGTTCCTAATAGCCATAAATAAGACAGCACTTGTCATACTTATCATACATATATTCTGGTTCCCTGGGAAAAAACTTCCATGTGCTCAAAATTCTTTCTTCTTACCTGCCTGTTGGAAAACCAGAATTTCCGTTCATGGTATGCTGATAAGTAGAGAGCATACATCATACCACTAGTAACCGCTGCAAGACAGCCAATGAAAATCTTTGCAAAGCGTTGAAATAATACATCTGAAAAGCATATTAAAAGTAATCAAAAGGTAATATGTACCCTTGATATGATGTGATTAAAAATGGCATTCTACCTCTATGGTCTTTGTCCCCAAAACCCACAACTAGAGTCTAATTGTGAGAAAAGCATCAGATAAATTCCAATAGAGGGTCATCCTATAAATGTATCTCTCAAACCGTCAAGGTCATCAAAAACAAGAGCTTGAGAAAGTATCAAAGCCAAGAGAAGCTTAACAGACATAACAACAGACATAGTAAGTGTCACGTGGTATCGTGGATGGGATACTGGGACAGAAAAAAGACATTACGGGTCGGAAACGGTGGCACTTTGGGAGGCCGAGGCGGGCAGATCACTTGAGGTCAGGAGTTTGAGACCAGCCTGGCCAAAATGGTGAAACTAAAATACAACAATTAGCTGGGTGTGGTGGCGCACACTTGTAATCCCAGCTACTCGGGAGGCTGAGGAACAAGAATCATTGAATCTGGGAGGTGGAGGTTGCAGTATGCTGAGATCACGCCACTGCACTCCAGCCTGAGGGACAGAGCAAGATTCCATCTCAAAAAAAAAGGCTGGGCGCTGTGGCTCATGCCTGTAATCCCAGCACTTTG